TTCATTATGTAGGTCTGCTATAATTTATTAATCAGTTTTTTGATGATATCCATTCAGATTTTTTTTTTTCTAGAGTGACACAGTGGACATGAGCATATGTCATTACTTGTCCAATTATTTCCTGGGAATAAAATTCTTGAGGCAAAAATATGTGTATTTTTTTTGTTATGAATATTTATTTATAGCTTTTATGAAATTGAACTGCCAGAAGCTTACACCAGTTTATATTCCTATCAACAATGGAAAGTGTCCATTTCACCACACTTCTCTAGTATTTCTAATTTTAACAACATCTTATAAATCTGACAGGTAAAAATATTTCTATTTATATTTCTTTGGTTATAAATGAGCTTGAAAATCTTACTGTATCAAGAGATCAGTGCCATTTTAAAAGGATCTGATGCCTTTGTTTTCTGCCCTTTTTCCTTGGAATTATGGTAGGATTCCAGATATGAAAATTAGCAATTTTAAGTCATGGAGTTAGAAGAATAATTACAGGCATGGGTATAGAACTTCCATCCCCTGTAAATTTGTGTCATCATACACATACTATTTTCTTGAAACTGTGGGAGAGAATGACCCTTAACCGTTTCTAATAAGCATTAGCTGTTAAGTAAGTACCTTGTATTACCTTATTAAAACCAAGTGTAAAATAATATTTATTTTCCTCTTTTAATATATATATGTGTTTCTCAATCTTTTTTATTATTATTTTATTGCCTCCCAAGGAGCCCTTTTAGACATTTTCCCTTTAATTGCTGCTCCATGATATTTGATACCATAGATATACTGTGTACTTATTTGTCTTATTTGTTTATATACAGTGGCCCTTTGGAAGCCCACACACCATGGTATTTAAGATTTTTTTTAGCCCTTCCAAGAACAAACTTTACCCCCTTTGGGGTGATGCTGCCCACATTAAGAATGCATGATTGAGGGGATAGGAGAAAAAGCTTTGCTATGCATGGGTAGTTTTTTAGTTTCATGGGACTCAGAGAGAGGTCACTGTTCTCTTTGTCAGGTGGTCCAGAAGGGGACATTAGGTTTAACAACTCCCACCGTTTTCTTCACTAGTCTGTTATCAAATTCTAGACATAGTGCCTTGAGGTACCTAAGTTACTTAGAATATTTGGATATAGTATTTCCATTCGTGAGAACATTGGTAATTATGGCAAGGACACAGTGACATTATTATAGTTGAAGGCATTTTGTTGAATTTAGGGAATACTAGTCTTAATGTAGTAGGAGTAATAGTAAATGTTTTAACCTCTATCCCATTGGTTCTCATTAAGTGGTGATTCTGCCTCCCAGAGGACATCTGCAGTAATTGGGGGCATCTTTGGTTGTCACAGCTGGAAGAGTGGGTGTTGCTAGTGGCATCTCGAGGGATGCTGTTAAACATCCTGCAGGGGAAAGTGTCTCCCCTATCTTCCAACCACCACCACCACCACCCCCTTCCCCTCCACCCCGCCGCCATAACCAAGAAGTATGTGGTCCAAAATGTCAGCGCTGCGTAGGTTATGAAACCCTGTTCTAGTCCAGTGATTCTACTCCTTGGAATCTGTCTTTACAAAACAGTCTAAAATACAAGAACGTGTGTGTGCATAAAGGTACTCGCCAAAGTGTTACTTTTCCCTTTACAGTGTTCTTTTAGAAAATTCACTAATACAAAAAACATAAAATTACTCACAATCTCTCTCAAAATAATGTTGGGATTTTGGTGTATGTGTATTTTTGTAATTGGGGCATATATCGCTATATATAATTATGAAAAGTGGGAAACGAACTTAATTCTTTGAAGAACAAACTGATGGTTACCAGAGGGGAGGTGGGGGCGGGGGTGTGAAATAGATGCTAGTGCCTATCATGATGAGCACTGGTGGAACACTGTATGTTAACTACACTGGAATTAAAATTAAATAATTACAGAAACCTAATTCTTTGAGACTTAGAAGAGATTTGATTGCCCATGGCAGGACTACATCAGTTTCAGGAGCACTAAATAATTGGCAACTACTTTAGAGATAAATAAACTCAGCCATTTCAGGAATTCTTTATACAGTACCCTTCAACCTCTCTGTCCATTCTTTCACTTAAATCTTCTGTTCTGAATTACTGTTTGCAAATGCTTTTTACACTACCATAGAGTTAAAAGGTACAGGCAGTTTTTCAATGAAGCTAACTTAATTTTGTGTACCAGTAGAGGTAAATGATAGACCCATCCCTAGGGATAGTCTTTTATTTTTTTCTATACTGTAATTTAATATGGAAAAACAAATGATAAAAAATTGGAAGCAGTCATAATGTCTATCAGTAGAGAATGGATAAATAGATTTTGGAATTTTTCACAAAATGAAATACTGTACAACAGTTTATTTTTTTTTTTTAAAAAGATTTTATTTATTCATTTGAGACACAGAGATAGAGAGAGAGAGCATGAGCAGGGAGAGAGGGAGAGGGAAAAGCAGGCTCCCAAGGAGCAGGGAGCCCGATGCGGGACTCGATCCCAGGACCCTGGGATCATGACCTGAGCCGAAGGCAGACGCTTAACCATCTGAGCCACCCAGGTGCCCCTGTACAACAGTTTAAACTAATGAACTAATCTGTATGTATTATAAATCTAAAGTATAATGTAAATGAAAAGCAAGGCATAGGATATTTAGATAGAGTATGATAACTTTGAAGTAAATGTTAATATTACACAAAATAGTATATTGTTTATAGGTATGTGTATGTATATATACATAAAATATAAAACCATGGATGGCAAGAATACACACCCAGCCTTAGGAAATTAGCTACCTCTGATGGATGGGAAGGGAATTTGATCAAGGAACAGTAGAAATAACTTTCTATTCCTTAGAAGAAAAAAGTATTTCAAACAAATATGGCAATATGCAAGTTGGTTTAATCTTGAGTATGGGTACATTGAGTGTTCTTTATACTCTTTTTCTTTGTTTTTGAAAAATTGCAAGGTCACATTTTTAAAAAGTAAACATACTTTTCAAATTTGTTCATGTTTGAACTGAGACCAAATATGGAAAGATTTTTATAATAGTCCTAATCTAACAATGTATATATAATAAAACAGTAGTGAATGACTTCTTTACAATCACAACTAGTTAACTATAGCAAATAAAATTATTTCCAAGGGCTTTTCTTCCTTTGTTTTTGGAATGCTAAGTACTTTCCGAAGGTATTTAGGGTCTACTGAATGTTAAGAAAGATAAATGGTTCTTGAAATTACTCAAGCAATGATTGGAGTAATTGAATATGATTTACAATTCCATAAGATGACGAATTCATTATCTTTTTTCTCCCCTATAACTTAACATGGAAAAAACAAATATATTTAGAAAGAAACCATATTATACATTAAGATTAAAAAATCAGTTTATTTCTTACTAAGAAATGTGGAATTGGGTGCCTCGGTGGCTCAGCTGGTTGAGTATCTGACTTGGTTTCAGCTCAGGTCGTGATCTCAGGGTTGTGAGATCTAGCCCCGTGTTGGGTTCCACACTCCAATCAGCACAGAATCTGCTTGAGATTCTTTCTCCCTCCCTCCCTCCCTCCCTCCCTGCCCCCCCCCCATGCTTGTGCTCCTGCTCTCTCTCTCTCAAATGAATAAATAAATAAATAAAATCTTTAGGAAAAAAAAGAAATGTGGAATCTCTGAGCCTCTTGATGGTGATATGATGTGATACCTGTTTGGCAGATAACGAACATTGCAGAGTGTTTTGTTTTGGAAGAATTGTTTATTTAAAACCAGGAACTGTTATATTTGTATTCAGATTTTTTTAGAGTTTTTTCCTCTCAGATTTTAGACATCTGGTCTTTAAATTAGTAAAGTGCTTTATGGCTTTGTTCTATCAAAAAAACGAATACTAAACTTAACATAATTGTTTCTTATATGGTAAATGGCACTTTCAACATAAGCATAATCAAGCATATTTTTTTCTAGCTAATGCCAAAAACTGTCTTGTTATTAAAGAAAACTTCTATAAGCAGATCTGTGGTAGACTTACCATAACAGAAGGATTTTTACTTGCTTTTATGGTTATTGTCTTCTGACAAAAAGTTGACTAAATCATATAAATGTTTAGTGAGAGCTACTTAGATTGTATTAAAAGAAAATTATTTGAGATTTTGGAGCTATGCTGCTAGGGGATAGATTTCTAGTGATGCTGCTGGTCATTTGCCTGGACATACTGCTGGCCATTAACTTGCCAGTGGGTTGTTAGAAATTTTTTCTAAGTAAGGAAAACATGTAAAACCATCATATGGTGAAAACATTTAAATTTCTCTATTGGATTCAGTATTTCAAGCATTAAATTTTTTTTTAAAGAAAGAATGGCATATAATGTCACCAAATTTAGGTATGTTAAATAGAACATGTGGTCATTATGCTAAAATTAGACATTTACTGAATTACTACCGTTGATCCTGTATCAAACCAAAGTTTAGACCTGAAAGCAAAAGGACTCTAGCTCAGAGTGCGTTCTGCTTAGCAACCAACTTGTTGTCTACTGTTTTGCTACTGAATGCACGTACTCATTGCTCAGAAGTGTGTCTGCAGCCAGCTGGTCGCAACCAGAAAACATTTCATTCACCTAATTTCCAGACTAGTTAGGCAAAGACATCAGCTCATTGTTTTTAGAGATGAGCAAATTTATTTGTAAACTTCAAGTAGTAACACACTAATCTCAGAAGCCCCTGAACTGTGAGAAATTGCCTTCTAATTCAGGAATGTAAAGTCCTTGTAATTCAGAACTGCTGCACTTAATTTTATTTTCCTCTTAAAAATCCTTACAGGTATGTTGTTTAAAAAACACAGCCTCTGAAATCTTAGAAAAGAGAAAATAGAAAAGATACATTAAATCATTAAATTCAAGGAATACTTTTTGAATTAGTGTCAGAAAACAAAAATCCAAGAGGTTTGATTTGTGCTCAAACTTTTATTGTCTACCTTGATCCTCATATAAGATTATCTTCTAATTTAGAAAACAACAGTTTTGTTGGCATGTGAAGCTCCAGTTTCCTCAGAGTCAAGCTGTGTACATAGAAAAAAGGTATAGTATTACCACTATTAAGAACTTCTTTGTTCTTACTGTGTTTTTGTATTTACAATAAACTGTTAACTTATATGTGACATCATTAAATGTATGTAGAATGGATAACTAAGTTGTTATCTTTGAAGTTGTATACCAGACTAAAGTCACAGAAAGGACTTTATATGAATATGTATAATTGATTGAGGAAAGTTACTCATTGAAAGCATTGTCTTAATTTTGTTTTTACAGATTTATAATTCTAAACAATGTGCATATTTACCGGAAAGTTGAAAAACCTGAAATCCTTTATTTCCAGGGAAAGTAGTATCAATTTTTTACCCTGGTCTGATGATTTAGAATGAATAAACTTGAACATGCACTGAAATTAGCATCATTTGCAACCTTTTTTCAGATTTTATATTTCTGCAACTTTCAAATATATTTACCCTGAGTTCTTTCTTCTCATCTGTGAGCACAGGTGTGTGTTAAAAGAGGTTTCATATTTTTATAATTGATTTATAGGGAGCTTCTCAAAATACTGCTTTTTAGGACTTTTTAAGTGTGTCCAAGAAGTCTTTTTGAGCTTTTTTCCTAAGTAATTTTTGTTTAAAAGGATGTTGTATTTTGCCAAGAGTAAAATAAAAGATCTGTGTTCAGTCATTTAAATAAAAAAGCCACAAGATTTAGTAATTCCAAGTTAACACCATTAGTAGAAACTTATAATGTAAGTTTTGTTTTTTTGTTGTTGCTGTTGTTGGGAAGAGTACCAGATGATAAAACTGTTAATGAAATCCTAAGACCTTACATTGATCCTGAAAAGTCTGATCCTGTAATTCGTCAAAGGTATGGTTCAAAAATATTGTAATTTTCTGAAATTATTAAAAATGTTGAGGTACTGGTTATGTGCGTATTTATTATGTAAAGCTATGACTTTGTTAGAATATGGTATGTCAGTGCAGTTTACTTTCTGTGCCATTTCCTTGGTGTTTACTCAAGGCTTTGTCAGTCACGGATGATGCTTTTGGATAGCAATAAAAACAGTGTGTAATACTTAGTATTTACTGTTTTCCAGATCCTCATTGAAAGAGATAATAAATATGTGTTAATTAATTTAATCTTCATAGTAACCCTTTAAGGTAGATAACTGCTATTATACCCATTTTGCAGATGGGGAAACTAAGCCTTAAAGTGGTTAAATGATTCATATAGCAAATAAGCAGGGAAGATGGAATTTAAACCCAGGCAGTCTGGAATCAGAGTCTGCACTGTTAACTCTCAAATCAAACTTCTTTAAAGTTGAATCAAAAACATTGAAAATTAAGAGTTTCCAAGTAACTGTTAAAGACAGGGAATTCTGTTTCAGCCAAGTCTTCATAAAACTAATTAAGATACACTCTGCCTCCTGCCCAGAAATACAGCATTAACAAAAATGGTTAACCTAGAGTAGTAGAAAGATTCAGTTATGAATATCTGGGCTAGAATAGCTTGCTCTGTCCCTTTTTAGCTGTGTGATCAAGGAGTAAGTTACTTAACTTCTGGACCTTAATTTTTTCATCAGTAAAATGAGAATGATAATATCCACTAGCTAAGGTTATTTGAAGCTTCAAAAAAAAAAAAAAAAGGCATATATAAAGTTCCCAGTACAGGGCCTAGCGCACAGTAGGCAGCACTCAAAAAGGGAAACTATTATTAGAGTGTGAATTAGTTTTCCTGAGCAGGAACCCCTTTGACTTTGTTTTCTCCAGATGGTACCTGCTTGGGATATGAATGCTTGGTTTGGTTCCAGAGTAACCTGGTGTTTAAATTTTAGACTGGGTGGATTCTAAAATGTCTGGTCCAATTCTAGTTAAATCTCATCTTCTACTTCTAATAAAAGGTGTTGCCCAGACTGAACCAGATCCATGCCGTATATCAAGTAGTGTCTTTGGCACACGTATAGTGGTTGGATTTCTTTCCTTCTTATTACTGATAATCCAGTTGTTATCATTGGTCATGTGTTTGGCAGTAAGACAAAGTACCTGTCACTAAATTGGATACATTTAATTAAAATAAATAAAATAACAAGTTTAACTTAATTTAACTGAAATAGATATTTTTTAATTCAAGATATTTTACAGAGAGAAGAAAGGTAATTTTTTTAAATTCAAATCCTTGGTTAGAAAATATCTTTAACCTCTTTTCTATGCTTGGATAGTTGAATTTTAAGTATTATTAGCTACTCATAAATATTTGGTCTTCCATAGATACTATCTTGAAATATATTAAAAATCAGTTTTGCTTCCTTCAATATGACATTTTTATTTCAGGTTGAAGGCCTACATTCGCTCTCAAACTGGGGTCCAAATTTTAATGAAGGTTGAATATATGCAGCAAAATTTAGTAAGGTAAAATTGCTTCCCTCCCCATTTCTTTATATATTTTCTAATTCTGTAATATAATTAAGTAGCTTGATTAGCTTAAGTAGCTGGTTATTATACTACTATGATTTTCAAATTAAAATTTTAAAATAATCACACTTAGAGAATAAATTCAATTGAAAAATTACTCTGGTTAAAATATCTTAAAATGGCATTATGTACAAGTAAAAGATTCCTAATTCCCATTTTAACTTACTTCAAGAAATATTCTCTACAACAGAGTTTGAGTGTTTACGTTTTTGCCTTTGGAAATGCAAAAATTCATGTGATCAACTGAGCATTGCATATATTGCTTTCTCTGCAGAGAAATGTAAAGAGAGCTGAGATCTAACAAACCATATTATTTGAGAAAGTTCTTAACTTTACTGGGCTCTGTTCCTTCATTAATGGAGTGGTAAAATAGACTACACCAAACAATCTCTGGGAGTCTCTACAAAGTCTGCTTACATGCCAGTTACGTTGTCGTTGTACTGAATTACAAAACACTGATCTTGGGCGCCTGGGTGGCTCAGTTGGTTAAGCGACTGCCTTCGGCTCAGGTCATGATCCTGGAGTCCCAGGATCGAGTCCCGCATCGGGCTCCCTGCTCGGCAGGGAGTCTGCTTCTCCCTCTGACCCTCCTCCTTCTCATGCTCTCTGTCTCTCATTCTCTCTGTCTCAAATAAATAAATAAAAATCTTTAAAAAATAAATAAAAAAAAAACAAAAACAAAAACAAAACAAAACACTGATCTTTTATGACCTTTGATGCTCTTCCATTCATTGTTCAAGTAACAAAACTACTAGAATCAACTCAGACTGTATCTGGTCAGTCTCACCTATGATTTGATTTGTTAGCGTAGCGTAGAGGTTTTAGAGTCCAAGCTGTGAAACCCAGCAGAGCTGGGTTGAAATCCCAGGGGCACCTGGGTGGCTCGGTTGGTTAGCATCTGCCTTCAGCTCAGGTCATGATCCCAGGGTCCTGGGATGGAGCCCCGAGTCAGACCCCCCTGCTCAGCGGGGAGCCTGCTTCTCCTTCTCCCTCTGCCGCTCCCCCTGCTTGTGTGCGTGCCCCCTCCCTCCCTCTCTCTCTCTCAAATAAATAAAATGTTAGAAAAATAAAAAAGATCGTCGTGAAAGATTAAGATATTCATTCAGCACATGGTAAGTGCATGATTTTATTAATACTACTCCAGATAAATGGATTCTTAAAAAATGTCTGCACATAAGATTGTAAGACTTGTAGCTAAGAACAGATTTAAACACCAAATCTTGACCACCTTTTACCAACATATCTCAAATACTCGCAACTTCATATCATTGATCATGGTTCAGTGATAAAAAATTCAAGTTTTCTATCAATAGTTTTTTCCCTAGACTTCTTAATTCAGTATATGTACATGCAGTTCATGCTTTAACTCTCCTTCCCCTGAAAGATTTGGAATCTCAAATGAGAGAGGGATAGAAGATTTTGTGGGTTTTGCAAAGATAGTTTATCCAGTGTAACATCCATGCTAACCAAAGTCAGTATTTCTAAAATTGGTAATCAAACATTTATGTAATTAGTGAGAAATTCTGATGTAAAAGGTGCATTCTTTCAGTTTTGCCTAGCAAAATCTTAAAGTAAATTTCATACAATTCATGTTTAAATAAAACAATTTGCAACATTCCCTTGGAATTTACCTCCTGTCAGTCATTAAATAATTTCTCCTTTTATTATCTGTTATCTCATTTAAATTCAGTTCCTTTCTTAACATTTACTATATCTTATTTAGTTAATTCTTGTAAATGTTACTCACATTTACGTGGTGCACTCTTGATGGGTATACTGTGGCTTCAGTCTCAATAAGCCTGTTAAAAGAACACCTGTGAGGGTTTTTATGAAAAATGAAATTGCTTTCTGGATAGTTGTTTCATCTCATCTTCTCTGGGCCATGGAACTAATACATACTCTCCCAAGTCTTCTCATGACAACCTGCTGATGTGTCCCAGCATTCTAACCCTTCCGCACCACTCTGAGCATTTACCAGCTCCTTGTCCTAGACTGCCAGTGTGGGGATAACATGTAAATGGCTCCAGAAGGATTGGAAGGGAGACAGTAAAAGTGCTACCCATCCAACTGATTGCTTCATCATTTCCTTTGTTGTACTTATCAGGCCTTGAATGATTACAAATAGCAGCCATTGGCTACTATTTTAATGGCTGCATGAATGTAATTATTTGTTTTCTTAACAAGTATGTGTTTGAAATACCATATTGCTTTTCTAGACTTAATAAAAATATTTTGGTGAGGTTGGGCATCATCTTGACCACGGTCACCCTGTTTACCTAATCTGTTCGGCTAATAATTAAATTTCTTTACCAAAGCTAAGGAAAACAACCCATTATAATTTTGGTACAACTGCTAAGAACAAAAGGTTGGGGTTTTCTTTTTCTTTTTTTGTTTTGTGTTAGTTTATTATGATTTTTGTTTTGTTTCTTTGTTGTTTCCATTTTTATTTCCTCCATTACCAGAAAGAGAAAGTTTGCTCTATTTTTATTGTAAGTCAAGGCAAACTGGGAAGTGGCCAGTAAAGAAATGTGCCAGCTCACTGAGCCAGTCAAACTTGACTCTTTGGCATTAGTATCCTCTTCTTCCAAAATTCAAGGAAACCAAAATTGTACATGTTAAAAGGTGGTTACTGAGTATTTTAAAGTTTATAATACAGGACAGGCTGTTTGGGCTCAGATAGCATTCATTTTTAATTTGGAAATGTATGCTATAAATGCTTGAAGAGCAAAGAGGATAGAGATTTCGAGATGGAGACCTCAGCATGTCCTAGCAGACTGGGGTTTTCCAGGAGAGTGGCTAGCAGAAATGCCTATAGCATGATATGATCCAGAGGGGAGCAGTTGGGAAAATCATTTCACGCAATTCCATTAGAAAGACATCAGGATAGAGAGAGACCAGGGCACAGGAAGATACCAGTCAGATTGGAAAGGTTTAATTTAACAGAGAGGGTAAACCTGAACCCAAAACAAGGTCAGAGAAGTACACTGAATGACCTAATTCTAGGCCCTCAATTTTTCTGTGCTTCATTTTCCTTTAGGGTCCTTTATTTTCTCTTATTTTATACCTTCTTTAGGAACCCATAGAGGACCAAAGTTGGGCCTTGGGTTAACCTTAATCCCCATAGGGAAAAGAATGATAGATTAATAAAGTAAAAGGTGAGTGTTGTTCAAAGAATACCTAGAATAGGCTGATACTAAACCTGAGCCAATCTGAATAAGATGAAAAGTATTTTGACTTTCTCTTATCTATATAAAAAACTTGCCATCCAAATTTCCCCATTTGAGTTGTTTATTTGAACTCAGTGATCTATGAAAACATTAGGAAGAAAGGGAAGGTTACAACCTAGGTCCTCGGAAACTCCAGTGAAGGAGTTTTTATTCTAAGTTGGGATAAGGTACATCATATATTTCTGATTGTTAAGTCAACTTCATGATATAGTGATCCTAATTTCTATAAAACTTCCCAGTTTTCAAGTATTTTCTAATCATGACTAATGAAATTAGATACATGAGAATACTTTTAGAAATAGATTTTCATTTGATTTTTTTATTTAAAGATTTTTTAAATCACAGTGTTTTTCAGATAGTGCATTCATAGATATGATAAGATGAGCACCTAACATTTGATTGTATACTTAATTACACTAGTATCATTAAACATTCAGAGAACATCTAAGTAAGATTATTATAGGTTTTAAAATGTTAGGCTTCTAATATAAGATAAGCATGCTAAAATAGGATTTTATTATTTCCTAAAAAGTACTTACAAGGCAAAAACATGTAGTTTCCTTGTGGCTGTTGATTTTAAATGTATCCTACGATTTACAGCATTCCCATGACTCCAGAGTAAAGTCTTTTTACCAAATCCTTGATGTTGCCAGTTTCTACTGGTTGTGTTTTCCATTCTTGGAGGGTTTATGATAGTTGTCTCATGATATACCTGATCAGCTAGAGCAATCTTAAATGTTTCCATTTTTAGCTTTGCCATACATGACTTTTATTTTTAGATTTAGGGGATTATAGTATGCATGTCTAACCCTAAGGAATTTGCTGCTGATCTGTTCGGGAGTTTTCTTTCCAGAATACACAGAGTTTGAATTTGTGTTTTCTTACAAGAGCTAATATGGCTTCTTAAGTAAATTCGTGTATTCATTCACTTGCAGACAGTGATACCCACTGTGGTCCAGGTGGGTATTCCAGACATTAGGGTGATGACAGTAAGGAGAACCATTTCTGCCCCTGTGGAGCTTACAGTCTCAGTGGAGGAGAATTCATGAAAGGTGCTTGTGTTAGCAGGCCACCCTTTATCTCTTGCCACATCATTTCTTAACCAGCTCTCTATTCTCAGAAAGTAAATGAGTGGTTTTGAAACAGAAAAACCTATGTTGGTAATGCCAGGTACTATAAGAGGCAGTCATTGTATTGCTGCTCACTTAAGTTGTTACTGACTGAAGAATTTAGAACACTCCCAAGTTTGGTACCGTTCATTCAATTGCAATTTTCCAAATCTGTTTTCTGTGTTGTATTTACTAGTGAAATCATTTATTTCCCATAAGGAAGTTGAGATACATTTTCCATTCTTTATGTTTACTTTGCTGCTTTGATGTTTATGTAAGGTCCTTTTTATTTTGGGTTTTTTTCTTTTTCAAGATTTATTTATTAGAGTGAGACATCAGGAGGGAGGGGCAGAGGGAGAGAGAATTCCAAGCAGACTTCACTCTGAGCACGGAGCCCAATGTGGGGCTCGATCCCACAACTCCAAGATCCAAGACCTGAGCCAAACCAAGAGTCAGGTGCTTAACCAACTGCATCACGCAGGCACCCCTATAAGGTCCTACTTTTGATAAAGATGTGGTTTAAGCTGTTATGGGATAATTCTTGCCAAATTTACTCAAAAACCATTAATTAAGCACATTTTATCTTTGAAGGCTATAAATA